AAAGCATCTCTTATTTTAGAGAAGACACATATCATCATGGACAGAATGTTGGTAGAACTGTGAACATTAAAGGTGATTCAGGTGAGGCTTCAGATGGAAATGCAAAACATGGGAATGGAAACTGGAGAAAGATGATCCTTATCAGGAAGCAGCAAAGAACTTGGCTAAATCGTGTTCTAGTGTTTCATGGAAAGTAGAAATTGCAAGTGATGAACTTGGAAATTTAGCTAAAGAGATTCCTAAGCAAAGTGTTGAAGGTGTGGCCTGGTTTCTCCTTGCTGTTTATAGTAAAACATGAGGCAAATGAGAGAGGCAAATGGAAGGGATTGGTAAGCAAAAACAAACCAGAGTGTGAAGATTTGCAAAATTCTCAGCCCATTCATGTTGCACAAAACAAGAGTGCATGTTCTAGGGTGTGTCTGGCAAATCACTCTGTAAGGAGGTCACCCATGCAGTGTATCAGCCATCTCAGCAGAAACCAAGAATAGAGATGGGATTTATACCAGCACAGACATTGTCAGTTTGGACCAAAGGGAACAGAGATGGGATAAAATAAAGGAAGGCTATTGGATTTCTGGGATTCTACAGGACAGGATAATAAAGCTATTTGGCTGTGAATATGCTTTATCCTTTAAGAAAAGAGGATTGACCCTGAAGGTGATTCACAGATCATCAGGGCTGCCATTCCCACTATATGCCTAAAGCATACAGCCCAGAGAGCAAGACTATTTATTTCTGGGTTTTAGAGGGTAGGCCTCCTCTTGGTTTCAGGGCTCTGGGCTGTCCCTGCTTAGTGCCTCAGGGGCAGGGCTACAGCAAAAAGCCACAGGGTGGGGCTCTGCCCCCAGCAGAGGAGGCAAGGCTACTGCCTAGTGAGGATGACACTACTGACCAAGTGGGTCCAGAAGGCAGAGCATTCCTCGAGAGGATTATTCTAGAGCTTTAAGACTTAGTGGAATTTTCCTTGCTAGGTTTTGAATTTGTCTGGGACCTATCACCCCTTCCTTCCTGTTGATTTCCCCCTTTTGGAATGGGAATATCTATCCTATACCTGTATTTTGGAAGCATGGAACTTGTCTGGTATCTAGGTAGAGAAGAATTTTGCCTCAGGATAGGTCATACTTGGAGCCTCACCCATATCTGATTTAGGTGATACTTCGATAAGACTTTGAACTTGGAACTGATGCTTGAATGGGTTAAGACTTTGGGGATTGTTGCGATGGTATGAATGTATTTTGTGTACAATGAGCACATGGATTTTGGAGGGGTCAAAGGAAAGAATATTAAGGACTGAACTGTGTCTCTGTCAAATTCATATGCTGAAGCCCAACTATCAGAGTGACTGTCTTTGGAGACAGGGCCTATAAAGAGGTAATAAAGATTAAGTGAGATCATAAGGATGGGGCTCTGACCTGATGGGATTAGTGTCCTTATAAGAAGGAAAAGAGAGGGGCGCCTGGGTGGCTCAGTCGGTTAAGCGGCCGACTTCAGCCAGGTCACGATCTTGCGGTCCGTGAGTTCGAGCCCCGCGTCGGGCTCTGGGCTGACAGTTCAGAGCCTGGAGCCTGTTTCGGATTCTGTGTCTCCCTCTCTCTGACCCTCCCCTGTTCATGCTCTGTCTCTCTCTGTCTCAAAAATAAATAAACGTTAAAAAAAAAAAATTAAAAAAAAAAAAAAAAGAAGGAAAAGAGAGAAGAGCTTGGTCTCTTCACACAAGGAGAGAAGACACCATGTGAGGACTCAGTGAGAAGGTGGCCTTCTACAGGCTGGGAAGAAAGATCTTATGGAAAACAACCAAGCCAGCATCTTTATCTTGAACTTCTAGCCCCCAGAACTGTGAAAAAAGTGTCAATCCACCCAGTCCGAGGTATTTTGTTACGGCAGCTCAAGCAGATGATTATAGCCTCTAAATACATCAATGGCTGGGGTGCCTGGGTGGCTCAGTCAGTTAAGCATCTGACTCTTGATTTGGGCTCGGGTCCTGATCTCGCCTTTCAGTTCATGGGATCAAGTCTGGAGTGGGGCTCCACACTGACAGTGTAAAGCCTGCTTGGGATTCTCTTTCTCTCCCCCTCTCTCTCTGCCCCTACCCTGCTCTCATTCTCTCTCACTCAATAATTAAATAAATAAACTTAAAAAATACATCAATGGCAAGACCATATACTTTATTTATCCCATGGGTACCTAATGGTTTTGATAGACCTACCTACTCATCACCTTCCCAATACAGAGTATTTTGTTGAGTTGTACAAACCTGGGTCTGAAGAAAGAGGTGCTGTCAAGGAACAGATGACAAGAGGTCTGAGGCTTGGTTTCTAGAACCAGGCTTTGCCAAACCTTGCCAAGGGATCTTGGGCAAGCCACTTCCCTCTGGTTATCAGTTACCCATCTATAAAATAAGGTATGCTGCATCAGACTCTGGAGTTATACACATGTGGGCTTGAATCCAGACTCTGACATTAGCTGTGTGACCTTGCACACATTACTTGGCCCCTCAGATTTAGTTTTCCCATCTCTAAAACAGGATAAGCGTTAGCCCAGGGTATTACTGGGCTAACTGAAAGATGATGTGCAGAGTCCCTGGCACATTTTAAAGGACAATACAAGTAGTTCTCTTCCTAGATTAGTTAATTAATTAATTAAGTTAATGCATGTAAAGTGGTGAGGACAGTGTCTGGCACTTGGTAAGGGCTGTATCCAGTTTAGTTACTTTTTTTTTTTCTTCTTACTTGAACAGAGAGTAGGTCCTCAGTAAGTGAGGTCCTTATTATTATTTTGGAGGCTCATCTCCCTTCATTTCTGTCCAAAGGCCTAACTCCTAAGTATAGCTAATTTCGGTTTTTCCCCAAATACAGCCCGTGGGCTTTCCCGCCCTAGTACATTTGTCTATTCCGTTTTCTCTGCGTGGTGCTCCATTTCTCCTCCTCCGGAGCTCAGATGTCTTCTCTTCTGGGAATCCTCTCTCCGACATCCCCCTCCTCCCAGTCAGAGGAATGGCTCCTAGATTTGTGTCCTGCTAAGAAAACAACTCCATATAGCACTTAGTTCTTTGTGCTCGGTGATTCGGTTAACTCTTTCAGAGCCTGCCTCCGAGAGTGGCGGCCTCTAGGGCACGGTGCTGGGTGAGTAGCCTCTGGGTGTCACCCAAGACGTCTTAGCACGGTGTGGGACAGAGGAAACGGACCCTTGTGCAGACAGGGGTCCAGTTTTAACTCCTAGAAGCCCGAGCCCCCCGACCCTCCCTAGGCCTTGCCCACCGTGAAGCCTGCCCCTCCTCGGGCTCCGACCCTCCCTCCCCCGGTCCCCATTACCTGAGCCGACCGGGCTGCCCAGGGGTCCCCCAGGCTCCTCCTCCGCGGTCCCTCCGCCCCCTCCTGGCGGGCGCGTCCCCTCCTCCACCCCGCGGCGGAGCCCTGCGGAGCTGAGGGCGGAGCGTCGTCGCCGATGGCTGGGAGCCGGGCTGGGAGGCGCTGGGAGAGCAGTGGGTTCCAGACGCGCCGCCGCCTGGCCGGGGGGCTGGCATGGCTGCGTGCTTGTGAGCGCCGAGCGCGCGAGGGGCCGCTGCCACCATGCCCGGGGGCGTGGGCGCCGTCCGGCTCTGCCTGCTGGCGCTCGCCCTGCCGGCGTGGACCAGAAGTAAGTGGCGGGGTGCGGGGGCGCTGGGTGAGGATGGAGATGGGTGGGCTGGGTGGCCGGAGGACGTGGGAGTCGCCCCCTGCAACTCCGCGGGGCTATTCCCCCGCGGTCCCCCAGCCTGGGAGTCCGGGCTTTGTTCCCACGTTGTGCACCCCGGGAGGTGGTGGGGGTCCGGGAGACCCAGAGCAGGCAGAAAACAGCCGGTCCTCTCCCTGGCTTGCCTCCCTCTCCCTCTTTCTCTTTTCCCACTGTTTTTTCTGCTTTTGGCTTCTTTCCGCTGCTTTCCTAGTCTCTCCTCCTTTCTCCAGTCTTTGTGTGTGTGTTCCTATAAATATATATCGATAAAATTGGAACCGTACCATATGCACAGTTTTGTGTCTTGCATTCTTCACTTCACAGTGTGAGCGTTTGCCACATCGTTACATTCTGCAAAAACATGACTTTAATGACTATAGATTATATCAAGAAATCGCAGAAGTGTAATCTTCAAAAAGTTAAAAACATGACTTCTACAAATATAGGATGAATGGGTGGCAAAGATTCCTTCAATTCATTAACGAGGCGGCGAGTAGGATGGTGTAGCTGGTTGAAAGCATTAGAGGAACAGGGGTGGTGCAGGTATCCAGGAATTGTTGAAATCATGTGCTGGGACAGATGTAAAAGTGGTCAATGCCCCATCCAGGGAAACAGCCATAATCCTTAGTTATCTTTCTCCCATACTAAAGTCATTTGCCTCTCTACCAGACAAAAATTTACAGTTAACATGGTAAGTTCACAGAGTATGGTTTTTTAATTCATGGTAAATTAAAAAAAAAGTCAAACAAATGTGCATTCCCCTAGAAAAATTTGGTGATGTATGAGAGGGCCTGTTAAATAGTGCTCCAGTGTGACATTGAAAGGACATCCTGCTTGCTTTTTGCCTCATTTGCAAGTTTTGAACAATTTTTCTTAAGATATACTGTGTTCCTCTATTATTTAGACTTGCTTTCAGCATTTTTTTTGCAATCATAAAGATAATTTCATTCCTTTAAATATTCCATTAAATATCGTATAATTCCTTTTTGTTGCAAAGAATCCAGACTTATGAGAGCCACTGGAGCAGGGACTATGCCTCTCTGGTTTCCCCATGAATATCAAGCACCTAGCATAGTACTTAGTAAATAGTTAAGCATTCAGAAAACATGAGTAAATGAATGCATTGCTTCTGATTTTTACCAGTATGACGATTCTAATGCTAGTCTAATATTTTTTTCAGATATATTTTGATTGAGAATACACTATATCAATAATCTGAAAGGAACATCAATCACTCATAATTTTGCCACTCTAACAGAACAGCTGTGGCTATCTTTCATATCTCTCATTGTATTCTATGTGATTGATGTGGTTGGTTTAGAAAGAATAGATTTTTGGAGTCTTCCAAAATCTAGGTCCCCCACCCCAGGAGTCCTATGGATTTAACCTATCCTTGTGGAGACTAATTTGTTTAGGTTTTGGGAAACTACCAGTTTATCGAGGTTATCTGCAAAAGTGAGGTCTGCAGTGCCTAGAACAAATCTCTCCTCAAACAAGTTTCAATTCACCTTTTTTTGCAAAATGGGAATCCTGCTGCTTATCTTGTCTTGAGGATGAAGGAGAACCAGTGGTGATAGTGATTTGGAAAGTAGGAAGTGATCTGCAAATGCAAACTTGCCATTAGGAAGCTCAAGGTAATGCCACGATGCTTTGTGGTTCTGGGAGCAATTTCACGGTGACTCTCCCCAGTAACGCTATGACATAGGCAGGCGGGTATCATGGTCTTCATTTTACAGATGAGCAAGCTGAAGCTCAGTGGGAATCACCCGTGGGCCTGAATCTGATTCAGAATCATGATTCTGAACATACCCAGAATCCGACCATTTCATTCTTCTCCACTGAGGTCATTTTAGTCTGAGCCACCATCATCACTCACCAGGTCTCCAGCCTGGCCATCTTGCTTCTACTCTCACTCCCACACCCTCCCCCACTATACCCCCCATCTCCACCCAGCCGGCAGAATGATCTTTTAAAAACTGAATACAGATCATATTGCTCTGTGTCTAAACACCCCAGTGCCTACTGATCTGTTTATTTTGAGAGAGAGACAGACAGAGAGAGAGAGAGAGAGAGAGAGAGAGAGAGCGCGTGCGTGACTGCACGTGTGAGTTGGGGAGGGGCAGAGAGAGAAGGAGAAAGAGAGAAATCCCAAGCAGGCTCTGCACTGTCAGTGCAGAACCCCATTAGGGACTCCATCTTGTGAACCATGAGATCATGATCTGAGCTGAAATCAAGAGTTGGATGCTTAACCCAGGGCCACCCAGGTGCCCCTCCAAGTCTATTTATAATAAAATCGAGACACTTTGCATGGCTTCTGTGATACAGACCTGTGGCTCTCTTGCTGACCACATCTCCTACCAACTTTGCTACTCATTGACTAGATTCTACCTAGTAAATCTACCAATCAACCACATCTCCTACCAACTTCCCCACTCATTTACTAGATTCTACCTCTACCTTCTGCTTGCTCCTTAAATGGGCCAAGTCCACTTCTGCTCACGCATGACCATTGATTGCTCTTGCTAGCCCCTCTCCCTGGGGCACTCTTCCCCCAGATCTTTGCATGGCTGCCTTCTGGTCTCTCAGATCTTAAATGCCATCTTTGCTGATCAACCTGTCTAAAATAGGCACTTCCTCTTCAGTGTCTCTTTATTCTATGACCCTGTTGGACCATTTGAGAATATTTGTGGATTGTGCATCTCTCACCTCTAGAAAGTAAACTGTGGGGAGTACAGAGACCTTGGTAAGCCCTGTGTACCACTATGTGGCCAACAACTAGCAGAGTGCTTCACTCATAGGAAGTGCCAACATCCTGGCATCCAGCAGGTCTCCTAATGACCCAATAAGGTGTTCTTTCCAGTTGGCAATGCATGCCTAGCTTAGCTAGGGTGCAAACTCCTGGGATACCGATGGTTGTGCATCCTGTATTGGCAGGAGAAAACGGGGAAGACAGCCCCCAGCTGCAGCATGAACTAATAATACCTCAGTGGAAGGTTGCAGAAAACCCCACGAAAGAAAAGGTAAGACCCCAAAATATCTTATTTTCAAAGGCAGGAGCTGACAGCTCCATTCTGTGAAGTGGCGGGCCACCTTCTTAATGTTCCTGGAAGCCCAGTCATCATTATAAGTTCTGTTTCTGACCCACTCTACATCCTCTCTGTGTATTGGTTTTGAAAATCCCAGATGGGACTTTCCTTCATTGTGTGACAAACTTGTAGAACACTTTCAAATGCTATTAGTTGAGGAAATGAAAATTATTGATGCTGACACAAGCTAAGTGCAAATAGTCACAAAAATCACCATCTCTCAAATGGAATTGATTAAATATTGTCATTGCTATATTTTGTCTATATATACATGCTTTATTTTATTGATGGCATAATTTACTTGAAGAGAAAAATAATAATTCAAGCTATTTTTAAGAGTCAGGGAGGGATCTAGTACTGGGAAATATATCTTAAAATGCAGTAGGGCTCCTTGGGCCATAACACCAGAAAAATGCACAGGCTTTCTCAAGGGGATTGGGAGCAAGACAGAAAATATTATCCTGTTATGCAGAGAGGACCTGTACATCTAGGATATTCTTTGTGGTTCTGGTCTTTATAGTTCAAGTGAGTCATGAAAGGGCTAGAAAGTAAGACATGATTGCTGCGTGCCAGTAACCAGCTATGGGACTTTCTACTTTCTGAACTTCAGTTTCCTCATTTATAAAATAGGGCTTAGAAATAGGAAGAAAGGAATAGGAAAGAAAGAAATAGGAAGAAAGAGGACTGTGGAGAAGGGAGAGTTAATAAGGTCCTTTGGGCTCATGATTTATTGGGCAGCATATAAAAGCAGGAAAGACTTCAGACTTTGTGGCTTTTGAGTCTGGAAAGGTAAATGGGGGCTGGGGGTGGAGAAATGCTTGGAATCCTTGAAGTTATGGCTAGAGTAATACAGACATGTCCAAAAATGCTTCAGTTTGAATTTATTAAGGGAACTTCCTGCAAAAATTTTAGGAGAAATGAAAGTAAGTAACATTTTATCCTAAAGACAATAAATGCATGGAATTCATTTCATCAAAAAGTAGGAAAGGCTAAAAAATAGCTTCAGGGAAAGTCTAGACAGATTGATGGATGGCTATCCTAGAGCAGGTTATTTTTAAAAAACAAGATCTTGGATAGTCCAATTTATCCATTATTGCTCAAGGAATGGATCCGATACTTTTTGTAGAGGTTCTGTGTTCCTTTTAGATGTGGGATGCCTAGCATCTTCAGGAAGGGCCTGGGAAACAAAGTGGAGCTCTAGATCCTGTCTTTATTCCTAGCCATTGTCTGCCCTGAATCTGGGTCAAAATATTTTGTAGGATTAGTCGGCACAGTGCCCTGTGCCATAAGTATCCATTGAATGAACAAATGAATGAATGTCAGAGAGAGAGAGAGAAGAAGGTAGGTTTCACTCAGGCCTCTTATTCTCATTTATGTAATTCATTCATCAAACATTCATTGAACATTCACTGTATACTAAATATCGTACCAGATCGTATGGGGGCTGCACATACACAGGACAGATTTCTGATACCCTATGGAGCTGAAGATATATTTACTTATTTATTTATTTATTTATTTATATTTATTTTATTTATTTAATCTACCTCTAAAGAGAAAGGAATTTTAACCCTTTCCTGCAGGAAGTATAAATATCAGTGTCTGAGCATCTTCCACACCAGAGGGAAATATTTTGGGAGTGCCCACTTATAAATACTCGTACTCATGTTGCAGCTTGTGTCTCTTTGGAGGAGACGTGACAGTGCTTAGATGTGTGTCAACTTGCCTTTTTTGTCTGGACTGTCACATGGCCGTCTACTCCTTGAATGAGGGAATTGCTACAGCTCTTTTGGTGTGTACTTTTCCTCAAATGCCCACTTGGGACTGTGTCCTGATGCTTAGTGTCATTGGGCAGGGTTCTTGCTCTGGAACATCCCAGAGTAAAGCGGCAAAGGATCAGCAACCAGAATGGGTGTTAACAGAGCTGCATCAGGGCATCAGAAACAGAGATGTGGATCCCGTAGTGAAGTTATTGTGCAAACATCCACCTAGCTTCCTCTCCCCATGATTTTGAAATGTCCCTTTTTAAGAGAAGTCAGTAGGATGAATTAGTGCAAAAATAGCAAAGGACAGGGTTGCCCAAGCTTCCTGTATCAGAACGTTCAGATCTCATCAGAGCCCTTGGTGGTGTGACTGTCCCAGGGATGCCCAGGACCCTAACGGCAGATGCAGTTTGGGGCAAATGAGAAGAGGAATGTACTTGGCAGAGGAAGGTCCCCAACCAGAGGTGGCAAAGCAGTTGGCCCACTTTCTCAGATGCTGAAACTAAGCTTTGAGATCAACCTTAAAAGGGACAGAAGCTCCACTCTATCAAGAGCTTCTGTGGATTGAAAAAAGACTTCAAGAGTTTCTCAGTTCCTTGGTCCCAACTTAGAGAATGTGCATTTAAAGCACACCAAAGAATTGATCCTGTTGTTTTTTTTTTTTTAAGTTTATTTAATTTTGAGAGAGAGAGAGAGCGAGCGAGCATATGCATGAGTGGGGGAAGGGCAGAAAGAGAGAGAGAGGACAGGGAGAGAGAATCTCAAGCAGGTTCCATGTGGTCAATGTGCAGCTTGACTCAGGGCTTGATCTCACAACCGTGAGATCGTGAGTTGGACACTTAACTGCTTAACTGACTGAGCTACTCAGGTGCCCTTGGTCCTGTTTTTGATATGTTTAAATATGTAAATATCTCATTTCAAATAAACAATTTTTTCCTTTGAAATAAGTTCAACCACTTTAAGTTGAATTGTTGAAGCATGGAAGCTTATTATGACTTGAATTTTTAATTTCTTTGAAATTTTCCATGATAATAAGGTAAAAACAGATTAAAAGCCCATCACGTAAAATATAAAAGCAATTCTAAAAACATGGAAGGATGCACAAAGAAAATAAAATTAACCCATGATCCTATTGCTGAGAAGTAACTGTGGTAACCTTTTGATATATTTCTCTCTACAAAAGCATATTTAAATAAAATAAAATAAACAGTGTTGTTTTGAGCCTTTGTGTACTTAATAATTATCACGTGTACTTTCTTGATAGTTTAAAAATTATTTAAAGTCATTTTTAATGACTGTCTAGTGTTTTGCCATATGATTGATTATAATTTATTTAACCATTCTATTATTGGACATTCAAGTCATATTTCATTAATCCTTATTGTAGGTAATGAGCATCCTTGTATATAAAACTTTACTTGTGGGGCGCCTGGGTGGCGCAGTCGGTTAAGCGTCCGACTTCAGCCAGGTCACGATCTCGCGGTCCGTGAGTTCGAGCCCCGCGTCAGTCTCTGCGCTGATGGCTCGGAGCCTGCAGCCTGTTTCCGATTCTGTGTCTCCCTCTCTCTCTGCCCCTCCCCCGTTCATGCTCTGTCTCTCTCTGTCCCAAAAATAAATAAAAAACGTTGAAAAAAAACAACAAGAAACTTTACTTGTGCTTCCATTTGCTCTTTTAATATAGAATTTTACTGAGTCAGAGGGTCTAAACATTCAAAAACTCTTGGTCCAACTTTCAAATTATTTCCCAGTGAGTTTGTATCAATTTAAATTCTCACTGGTAGGGTATGAGAGTGCCCATTTTTCATTATGCCCCACTGCCTTGTGATTTATGGGTCCTAAAAAATATTTGTCACTGTGATTTTTTAAAATGTATCTTTAAAAAATTTTATTTTTTGGCGGGAGCAGTTACCAGTGATGTTGAACATGTTTGTGTGTGTGTGTGTGTGTGTGTGTGTGTGTGTGTGCACTTATTGGCCATGATACCTCAAATAATTTATTCTGAGTGTGTTGCTAATTTGGCTATCTGTAAGTTCTTATGTGCTTAAAATGTATCTTATAAAACCTTAGTTAGAGGCTCTTCTAGTTGTCTCCTCTGAAATGGGTGGGTGGGTGAGTGGGGCATCCAAACCAAGAGCCAAAATAACATAAAATAAGAACTCACTATGAAGAGAGTTCTCCTGGTATTTTAGATAATAGCCAACATGTATCAGGGGCTTTCAGTGTGCCAGGCCCTGAGACAAAGTTTTTACATTTACTGTGTCACTTTATCCCTACAAGGTTCCCATAAGGATGACTATTATTATCTCTATTTTATAAATGAGGAAACTGAGCTAGTGGGAGGTTCAGGAACACGCCCAGGTTGGCACAACTACAGTGTCAGAGCTCAGAGCTAGCACTTGAATCCAGATGTGACTCTACACAGAATTTACCACTGAAGATTGTGTTGTTGGGTGTTTGCCTTTCCCAGACCTGTACGTGAGCACTTCCATCACATCTCAGCTTGAAGTTTCTTTCCTTTGTGTTTGAAGAGAGGTGGATGGGGGAGGGGAATTGGGTCCTGCGGGGATTGAAGTAATTTCTTGTTTGGGCTGGAAGTGCAATTGACCCTTTCTCGTTCACTTCCTGTGGATCAATGTGAGAGCACTGTGCTGGATCCTGTGTCTGTTCCTGGGAGCCTTGTCCCTGCTTTTAGGAACTGACATTCTTTTGTTGTTGCTTCTAGCATCCACTCAAAGCTGAGCTCAGGGTAATGGCTGAGGGGCAAGAATTGATCGTGGACCTAAAGAAGAATGAGTAAGTGGACTCTTCCTTGTCTAAAATGAAACAATTCACTTCCCTGTCAACGCCGGATGCAGGTGCCATTGTTTTGGAAAGAAGCAGTTTGTTAAATGACCCAGGCTCTCAATCTGTGGTTCCTTTGTAGGGAATGTCTTGCAAAGACAGCATATCCACAGTCTCTTGATTTGCTGTGAAATTACTGGACCGTTTAACGTCTTCCTTGAATTTCCTCTGGTTGTATTTCCGGGGCTCTTAGAGTTCACTGCAGGCTCACAGGGGCGTGTGTGTGTGTGTGTGTGTGTGTGTGTGTGTGTGAGAGAGAGAGAGAGAGAGAGAGAGAGAGAGAGAGAGAGACAGAGAGAGAGAGACAAAGGGAGGGATGGACTGGAGGACTTTGGCAGCTGTCTTACTAGCTCCAGCACAGCGCATGGCAGGAAGTGAAGGAGATTAGAGGAAAACAGCAGAGAGCAGAGAGGCAGGGTGGAGTGTTCTGGGATTTTGCACCTCACACGCGGGCTGCTCCATCTGTTCTGGGTCAGCTAAGTCTGAGATTCTGCCAATAAGGGCATGGTCAGCAGTCCCCTGGCTTAATCAGGCTGATTCTTCCATCTTCCTAACCTCATTCATCTTGGGTGGCTGCCTGGCTCAGGAATATTTCCACATTGATTTGCCATCAAGTGCAGTTGTAACTTGATTCATGTTATTGAGCAGGTGAATAGACATAAAGCATGGCTGCTTTTTCGACATTCCCAATCTGCTTGGCCACTGGAGAGCTCTGCTCACTTGGCTGGGGGATGCTGAGGCCTTTGGTGTTTTCCCACTAACCAGTTCTGCCTCACAGACCTCACAGATAAGGCTGAATGGCTCAGGGAACTGCCTGCCTCCTCTTGGCAGCCTCTTGAGTCCCCTAGAAGCAGATGAGTAATCAAACGCATCACTGCCAAGAAAGGGATGGATAGGGACCTTCCCGTATCCAGAAGGATGGGAATGGCTGCTGAGCTTGGGTGGAAAGCAAGAATATAAATTATTCCAAATTTGGGCTTTGGACACTTGCAAAGGAGGGTGAGTGGTGTTGGAAGTGTGGCAAATGTATGCCTTAAGCAGCATGTACAGTAATGGACTTCATCCACACCTTTCCTCTGTCTCCAGTATATATATGGTGGCCTTCGGGAAGCTAAACAGATGGGCAACTCAAACATTTTTGCTACTTTCCTCCTACAGTGAAACCACCCCAAGAATGGGTTCCTTTTGTCCCATTTCCCTGGAGCAGATTTGGCTGGCTATGTCCTCAGAAGGCATAGGCTCTGCATGACTGGGATTTCTTCTTGCATTGTCTTCCTTTCATCCTGCAGGAAATGCCTTCAGAGGGTCTGTTCTTGACTGTCTCTCAGGAGCCTGCTTTAGCTTCCCATGACCCCAGCCTTCCAGCTCTAATCTGAATATTTGCTATTGCCACCTGAGCCTCATCTGTCCTATTTGGCCCCAAGTGAAGCATTTGGGCCTTCAACTTCCTCTGGGTAGTACAAGTGATGGGGTGATGTCATGGGTAAATGGGATCCCAGGAGTCATCCTTCCCTCATGTTTTGGAACCTGTGCAAGAGGTCATTGAAAGTTAGAGCAGAAAGACATCTTAGAAAAACACTGAGTGCAACCGTCTTATGTGTGGTTGTAGAAACTTTGAATCAGGGGCTCTGGGTGGCTTAGGCTCAAGTCTGACTTCAACCAGGTCATGGATTCACGGTCCCGCGTGAGCTCGAGCCCCACGCCAGGCTTCTCCTGGCTCGGAGCCTGGAGCCTGTTTCCGATTCTGTGTCTCCCTCTCTCTCTGCCCCTCCCCCGTTCATGCTCTGTCTCTCTCTATCCCAAAAATAAATAAACGTTGAAAAAAAAATTAAAAAAAAAAAAGAAAGAAAGAGCAGAAAGACATCTTAGAAAAACACTGAGTGCAACCGTCTTATGTGTGGTTGTAGAAACTTTGAATCAGAGAGGGTTAGGCACTTGTCTAAGGTCACACAGCAAGTAAATGAGAGAGGTGAAAGTAGGATCATTTGTGTTCTTGGCTTGGTTCTAGAGTCACAGAAATCCAGGTTCATGCCACGAAGCTGTGTAACCTGGGGCAAATTGTTGCCACTTTTGGAAACTCAGTGCCCTTATCTATAAAATGCAGAATGTGACGCTGACTAACTTCTTAGGGTGATTGTGAGGACTGAATGAGGTGGTGCTTGTGAAGTGCTTATAAAACACATGGTGATCAACCACTGTTGTGATTTTTATTGTCCCACACTGAGAGGTTCCAGAGGAGAGCCTGGCACACAGCTCTACTGTCTGCTACTCCAGGCAGCTCTTTGGTTTCCCAGTGAACAGCAGGGGTGGGGCGGGGTGCCGGATGGGTTCCTGGCCTCCTTGAGTTGGCAGAAGGCAGGAGGCTTGACAAAAATGGAAGCAGCAGAGCCAAACAATATGACCTCACCAGGTATCCCTAGGGGACAGCTTCCTGCTATTTTCGTCCAAATTGGGTTTTTTGTTTTTGAACATGTGTTAGCAAGCGGAACTCTAACTGCACACGACTTCCTAGTGTGTTTATTTCCCAAAGCCTTCTCATTCATGGTGCTTGTGAATCTGGATTCAAAACAGCTGGGGGGGGAGGGGAGCTGGGGGAAGTGGGGGAATGATGCTTTTCTGATTTTTCAAATTGCTGTGTTAAAGTTTTTGTAATCCCGTGATATTTGAGGGGAAGCTAGGCCCTATGCCTGGTGACTTCTCAGTCTCTGGTTCTTCATATCCCCCACCGATTCATTCACTGTCATGCATCTATTATGTACCTGCAGCATTGCAGGCACCAGTGTTGGTACTGGGGACATGGCTGGGTGAACAGAACAGTTCTGCCCTATGGAGCTTATATTCTAGTGGCAAGAACAGTACACAAGTAAACAAGTAAACTGTAGTATGTCCGATGACAAGTGCTATGGAGGAAACAAAGTTGGGGGAGGCAGGAGGGGTCAGGACGGAGGTGCTTTTCAGAATGGCGGTCAGAAAAGGCTTTGGTGGTGTTTTGATATTGGGGTGAAGACCTAAAGGAGGTGAGGAAGTGAGCCATGTGGACAGCTAAGAGATGACAATTCCAAGGAGAAGCAACAGCCAAGTTTAAATCCTGATAGGTTATGAAGGCTTCCTCCATCCCCATACATTTCCTCACATATTGGATTCTGAGGCCTCCCAGGGCAAGGACTGTGGGCAAGGGCTTCTGGGATTCTGAGGGAAGGGAGAGGACATTTCTAATTTATTTTTCATCATCCTGAGGTGTCTGGCCTTCTCCCATCAAGTCAAAGCCCATGTGCTAATGCATGGCCCAAAATAGCAGTGAGCAGGCCTTTAATGGAATTCACACATGGAGAGATTTCCAAGAATGGTGGGGATGGAGGAGCAGGGGGTGGGCCGGGAGAGTCGGGGTGTAGCAAACAGGCTTTCAGCTCAGACACTGAGAGTTGCCTTAGTTCAATAACGTCACAACTGGCAGCCTTTTCCTGCTGTGAAGCAACTCAGGATAAATGGCTGTATGCCCATGGGAGACACACATCTTTTATAGAGTGCAAGTGAAAAGGAGTGACATTGTAGGGCTAACCACAATATGGCTTTCATGTTCGACAGTTCTGGGTTCAGATCCTGGCTCTGCTACTTAACTAACTGTGTATTCTCTTTAAGTCTCAGTTTCCCTATCCAGGGTATAATGATAGTGCTGTGCCATGAGCCATAGGGAGGATGAAATGAGATGGTATGTGTAAAGGGCCCAGCATTGTGCCTGGCTTATATTCCATACTCAGTAAATGGCAGCTACTATTATCTCTTGCTCATGGTTTTTTAATTGCAAAAGCAGTACATGCTCATGGTAAAACATTTAGCAATACCAAAATATGGTAAGTTAAGGAACGAGAGCCTCACAGGCTCAAGGTGAATCCACTCTTTGGTGGGCCTACCCAGGACCTTTTCTGTGTGTGTGAGAACACGTGCACAGATATGCATAAACACAGTTGCACAGAAGCACATATACCGGCTGCTATTTTTGTTGGGGAGGGAGGAGCAGAAATGAGATTATACTATATACATTGTTCCATGCTTGTTTATTTAGACTTAACTGTATGTCTGAAGTAGTACTCTACTCCAATAAAGTGTATATTATGTTCTTTTACATTAACTCACACATCTACACATGATTTGCAAATGTTGGTGCATAGTGTTATTAAGAGAATCTTACTTGCGATTGAGGCATAGCGGTCCGGTGGAGAGAGTACTGAGCTCAGAGACACATGATGTAGAGGTGAACAATAAGCCAATTGGCTCTCCTGGGCCTCAATTTTCTCATCTGTAAAATGGGGATTTTGTCCCCATTGGGCTCTAAGAGCTTTTTCCTTCACTACATATTTAAAGGATGTGGTGTAAGTAGAAAAATGGAAAATAAGTCCCTTCCTTAGGGAGTTTGCTCTCCAGTTAAAGAAATATCCTTGAAAATAAGGCAGTGGGATAAAAGCAAGTGCCCCAAAACCACAGACCTTGAAGTAGAGTTTGAACTTTCAGCTCAGGACTCACCGTTTAGGCAACATAAACAGGAAAAGGGAAACAACAGGGAAGAAATTATAGGCTGTTATTGTCACAACCCAAAATTTTGAGTCATAAATCCGTAACATTTTTTCTGCATATAATTTCCCCCATACCCTGAGGACTGCCTCATCAACCCAGAAACTGTATTGGACAAAAATCTGTTTGCTGAAATCAAATGGACTCTTCCTTAGCTGTAAGCATCTAGGGAGATGAACACCTCCAGGACATGTAGGCTTTGGTTCACCCCCTTCTCCTTTCTGTACTTTTTCCCAAGAGGAGAGCCCACTGAACTGTTGAATCAGCTTGCAGGATGCTCGATGCTCATTGGGTTGCACCCAAGGGCAGGATCACTAGGTTACAAGGTCACCTTCAAAAGCACATGAGTAGCTCATCTAGTGGGCACTCTGCCCAGAGGACCT